TATCCTGTGAGAGGGTCGTAGGAGTTGAGGCTGAGCTACATTTAATCTCGAGAGATGGTTGTCGTTTCAGAGGCTTGTAAAGAGACTACTTGCGCGAGAGCAGAGTCATAATTACAAACGTCCCATGTGAGGGCCGCAGAAACTAAGGCTGAGCTACGTGTAGTCTTAGAAAATGGCTACATAACAGAGGCTTGCAAAGAGACTACCTGCGCGAAAGTAGAGTCATAACTGTAAACGTCCTGTGAGATGGCCGCAAGAGTTGAGGTCGAGCTACGTATAGTCTCTAGAGATGGTTATCGTAGCAGAGGCTTACAAGGTGACTATTTACGCGAGAGCAGAGTCATAGCTACAAATGTCCCATGAGAGGCACACATGAGCTGAGGTCGAGCTATGTATAGTCTCAAGAGATGATTGTCATAGTAGAGGCTTGTAAGGAGACCACCTGCGTGAGAGTAGAGTCATAGCTGCAAATGTCCTATAAGAGGGCCGCAAGAGTTGAGGCTGAGCTACATATAGTTTGGGAGATGACTGTCGTAGCAGAGACTCATTCCATTAATATGGAGATAAGGATGGCGCTAGGGCGCTGAGCACCTGTAGGAGGCCTGAGGCTGGGCGCCTGCTGAGAGGGCCACTTTTGATTTCTCTAGCTTCATCCCCTATAAGGCATCACCAGTAGTTGGTGACAGGGAGTCTTGATTATAGTGGCTGTGGCTCAGAGAGCAATGACTGGAGTATGACAACTGTTGTCCTTTGGTCTACACCTTGTTGTTAAGTATGTTCGGACTTTCGTAGGCTGTCTACGAACTTTATGAAATGAAAGCAAGATAATTCGGACACAATAATCTTCGCAGAATTTTATTTCATAAAATAATAAATAATAAAATAAATCAACTGAAACAATAAAAGATAGATAAAATCTTCAGATGTTCGGTGTCCCATAGGTGGGCCAAGAATTTCCTGACAAAGTTCAAGTCACCTCCTCCTCTTGGCCCTCAGGAGATCGTTTGAATTTCTTCGAGGGGTTGCTGACATTCTCTGTCATCCTGGTCCAGACAAAGTGGTGGGGCTTGTCTTTTACCACCAAGGTACTGCCTCAAGTGGCCACGCTGTATGAGTTTCTTGATCTGCCTTTTAAGATTAAAGTAGTCGTCAGTATCATGGCCATGGTCTTGATGGAAACGAGAGTACTTGTTCGAGCTCTTCCGATTCGGGGCGGTCTTCATCTTCTCTGCCCAGAGTACTATAGGGGTCATCTTGTATTTGAAACAAGATATGCTTTACAGAAGCATTGAGCGGCGTGAAGACTTACCGTTCTCTTAGAGGCGGGGGACCAAGGCGATCATTGACAGAGATTTTCTCTGTCCTACCCCTTTTGTTCTCTACTTTTTGCTTGTCCTCATGCGTGTCCTTCCCCTTCTCTCACCCATGGGAGGACTCACCTCCTCAGACCTTGGAAACATCTTCAGCGTTCATGTATTTTTGTGCCCTATATAGCAGTTCGGGCATACTGGATGACAGTTTTTTAAGGACGGAGAACATAAAGCTAGATAAGCGCAGACCTGCGATAAAAGCAGTTATGGCTACTTTGTCGTTTGACTCTTTAATCTGGAGAGCCTCTTTATTGAAACGAGTAAGGTAACTCCTGAGGCTTTCATCCTAGTCCAGCTTGATGGTGAGCAAGTGGGTAACAGGCTTCCATGATCGCCATATTGGCTCTCTCCTTCGTCCTCCTACACAGGTACCTGAAGAGAGGGAACACGTGAGCTTCCTGCGCGCTGAGGAGGGACTACAGGGCGAGGGGCGCCCTTTCGTGGCCCTGGGGCATTCTAGCGAGGGCCCCCATGGTGGGGGGCTACTTGGCACCCAGAGAGGATAGGTTATTGCTCCTCTCCTATTGAAGGGAGTGGGGCTCCTCCCATGGGCTGAGGGGCGGGGCCTCCCTCACCCCGTGCATCAACTGTATGATTTACTGATTTTGGTTTACCAGCAATTGCATGGTCAGTAAAAACTATTGCCCGACGAGAGGGGTTGCCGTAGCAGATGATTCCGAGGGTGCGAGGGGAGGCAGAGCCTCCTCCTACTGGGCCGGGTTGTTGTCTCCCGGTTGTTGACTCATCGATCTTGTCGTAATTACCATGAATTAAAGAGAGTAGAAAACCTAGTCGATTCCCACAAATAGCGCCAAGCTAATGATGTATAAAATTAGTCTCATGAAATATCAACAGTCAAGTGCGTGATAAGGTATGATTAATGAGCAATAAATAAAGTAATCAATGGCAAAATAATAAATATGGAGTCAACACAGATATGTAGTGGTTCAATCTGGGTGACCTACTCTACTCTCAAAAAACTGCAGCGGTGGCCCGAACTCTTTATTGATGAATAAAGTAATCAAGAACGAATACTCCAGGAGAATTACAATACTTTTGGAGAGAGAAATTTGAAGTGTAGAGAGGTGTAGAGATGTGCCAAGGTATAGAGGTCTTAAGGTGTCTCTCCTTGTGGAGAGAACTTACATTATATAGATTTGGTGAGACGGTGCCGTGAGGGAAAATGACATTACTCTTTTGGTAAGTACAATTAAAGTAGGATTTAATCTCCATAAGTGTGTATCCCAATATTCTCTCTCCCATGTGATTCTATCTTCCCGTGTTCCTTAGATCTTGGACTAAGTCAGATTGGATAAGTGGGTCTGGGTTGTCTTTTAGTTGACTTGGGCTTACTTGATTTATTGGGCTTGGCCCAATCGATTTTAGGCTCATCATAACCCATTTATTATTCTTATGAACGGTTCGTGTCGTGTCATATACGGATTAATGCTGAGAAATGATCAACTCTAACCTGTTAATTTCACTTTGATTTTGAGTCATTTTCGTGTTGTGTCAGAAATTACCACCCTTATTTAATATTACTGTCTTTGATTTGAAGTGCTACTATTTTTCGTCATTATTATGTTCATATTACTGTTTCATATTATTGTTCAATATATGTTATTGACTTATGTTAATATTCAATGTTACTATTTTTTGTTTTAACTTAGGAAAGATATAAAATTAAGGGATTTTGAATTTGAATTAGTTTAAATTTGGTTCCATTTGTATATGTGTATATAGATAGATGTGTGTGTGTGAGAGAGAGAGATAAAGAGAGAGAGTTTTAATGTGAGAAAAACTTTAAAATTTCGGAGTTTTTAGTTTTTAAATTTGTTTTAATTAGATATAAATGTTGGGGGTATTTTGGACAATATAAATCGAAATGGAATTAAGCCCAAACAATGTTTCTGAGTGAATTTTTTACCAAATAAGTCTGAAAAATTGGACTGGCACCCAAATTTTCCTTTTTTTTTTTTTTTGGCACCCAAATTTTCCTTGAACATAACCATTATGGTAGAACTTCAGGCTAAAATAAGTGGAATTAATCTGCATTTAGACAGTTATCCAATTAACACAATGTTCAACTACTAAAAAAAATAGCTAGTTAAGGTAGGAAGCTAGACAAAGACCACGCAAGAAAAGATTGTGATACAGGTATGTCACCTTAATGAAAAGCATAACTATGGTTTGAGCAAGGCACATATTTCGTTAGATATTATAGAATAGAGTTCCAAGTGAAAAACAGAAAAATAGGAAAAGAACATTGAGGAAAAGAAAAGGAGTACAATTCAAACAACATTAGTGGATGTTTAAAACAAGTTTTCTGGATCTACATCCAATTCAATATACTTTGTTCTTCATTGTGAGATCATTTATCCTCTGAAATAGGGAGACAAAGTATACGAGAGGAGATCTCACTCCAAGTTTTTAGTCCAATCCCCTGCGCTTTTTTGGTTGTGCTAGTAGTGGTTCTAGTTTCCGTGCCGTCATTCCGAGTTTTTCCTCCATGTTCATTGTCTCAGGAGTTACATGATTTCCAAGTTCCCAATCAAATACGTGAAGCAATGAGCCCAAAACAAGATGCAACATGCGATGACCTAATTGAAAACCCACACACATTCTTCGGCCAGCACCAAATGGGATAAACTCAAAATGTTGTCCTTTGAAATCAATATTTGAGTCTAAGAACCTCTCAGGCTTGAAAGACGAAGGGTCATCCCAACATTCTGGATCTCTTTGAATTGCCCAAGCATTCACGAAAACTTGGGTATTTTTAGGTATGTGATACCCCATGAATTTTGTATCTTGCACTGCTTTTCGAGGAACAAGGAGGGGAACTGGAGGATGTAGTCGTAGCGTTTCTTTCACCACGGCTTGCAAATACTTCAAATCATCAATGTCACTCTCTTCAAAATTTCTGTTTGGTCCTATGACCTCATCAAGCTCAGCTTTAACCTTGATCATCGTATTCGGGTTGCATAGAAGCTCAGTCAGTGCCCATTCAACAGAACTGCTAGTTGTTTCTGAACCAGCTAGAAATATTTCCTGCATTAGTTTTACATATTTGGTGCCAATTAGTACTAGTAGAAATTAACCCCTAAGGTTATGGCTTTTGTTATTTGAAGAAACACAATGGATGTGATTATCTCTCATTCTGTAGTATATATTTTGCCCAGAAAATTAAGAAATACTGCTGAATGGGCACTGAATGACCATTAAAGTGTAGTATAGCTTCTTAATGACCCTTAAAGTTGAGTAAACCTGCCAAACCTAACCCTTTTCCCCAATAAAAACCCAAACGTAAACCACACCTTACCTTAAAACCTGATGCCATTCAGTTTCTAGTTTCCAGGATTGAGCTTGTCCTTCTATAGAATTCGAGTAAGTCTATGGTACCGGGAAGTACTGTGCTAAAAAATAATTCGAACCATTGATTTTGATTTGAATGTCACATATACAATAAAAAAAATGTATATTTGACACATTACTATTGACAAAAAAGTGGAGATACAGTACCCAAAAATACTTGTAAACCTGGTAACACTCTCAATAGAATGGAAGCAGTAAAAAGAGTCCTAGATTAACATATGTAAAGGCAACAACATGATGCACCTACACGGGTTTAGATCAACACAAAGAGGCCTCTCTCTACATTGCATTGGTACACCATTAATCAGACCATGAACTAGCCCCTATATCCAGTGAATTATTAATTTTATGTTGTTGGAGGCATGCCCGACAATTTACATTTATTTTTAAAAGAAAATAATTTATTGACTATAACATCAAACACGAAGCATAAATTACATACTATAAGAATTACCAGTATAAAAATGGTGACGTCCCGCTCTAGTAATTTAGCAGGTTCATCCTTTCCGGTGCCCTCAAACTCGAGCAAAACATCCATGAAGTCCTTCCTCCTTTCACCATTCTCCTCCAGCTCTTTCATCCTCTCCTTCACAAAACCAGAAGCAATTTTCATCGCTTTCCCCAAATTGCGATCAATTTTTCTTCTTAAACCCTGCAGGTCAAGCCATCTAAGGCATGGAAATAAGTCAGAAATATTGGGTTGGCCAGCCAACTCTATCGCTACCCTCATTGCTGTGAAGAACTCTGAGCCCACTTTTGATTCTGGGTCGGCCAGGTCCCGAGATACAACGAGATTTCCAATCATGTTGAATGATGCAAGGAACACGAACCAAGCAACCTGTACTATATAAATACATTAGTCATAAGTATCTCTAATAGTTTATGCTTTTAGAGTATATGGTGTCTAACATTATGCCAGAGCTTAAAAACTGAGTTTAAATACATAAGTTCTTCCTTTCTTATTACGCTAAAACAAGAAAAGAATCAATTGGACGGACACCCACATGGGTTTTGAGTTGTTGACCGTCACCTGATATGAACTTACACGGGATGTCCCGCGCGCCTGATGTTCCAAAAACATAAACATGTGATTTAATACTAAGGACCCTTGAAAATTTGTTTAGAGAACTAACCTAGAAGAAAATTAAGATAGAAAAAGAAAATGGATGACTTATTGACCTATACAGAGAAGGAGAAGTAAAGAAGATCGAAGGCTTAGCCAACACATCTAAGGAACACTATGAGATAAATTTTTATATTTTAGAGTTAATAATATTTTTAATCTCTAAAATATACATATTTTGATCGTTAAATTTTTAACGGAATGATTACGAGTTGGGCACGTAATACCATCTGAAAAAAAAAATGACATGTGATTACTTCCATCAAAAAATTTGACGAATTGTCTGGTTTAAGGACTAAAGTAACACGAATTGAAACTTTAGAAAATAATTGTATTATATTACTTTCTAGCATTTCAAACTTTAAATGAACTGGAGGTTTAACAACCTGAATGCCTTGCTCATCCTTCACTAGTTGGGAATCCTTTTCGATCCACAACAACATGTCGTTGACGCATTTTTGTCTGATCGGCACTGTTTCACTGATTCTTTTGTTTACAAGCATTTCCACCGTGCAGATCCGCCGTAGGAAACGCCAATATGAGCCATACGGAGCGAGGGCCAACGACCCAAGGTAGTAGTCGTGTGACCGATTGGTGTCTGTAATGGTGCGGTCGGCAAAGGAGAGGTCATGGTTCTTGAACAACTCGGCTGCTGCCTTGGCTGTGAGAACCGCAATAGTGTTTGTGGAACCTAACCTCAACCAAATAATAGGGCCATACTGTTGTTTCAGCCTGGCTAGGGTTCTATGTGGCGTGGTTCCAAGATTGAACAAGTGACCAAACACTGGCCATCCTGGTGGTTCGGGTGGTAGACGAATGGAGCCAGACTGTGGTCGTTGGCGGAGGAGAAAAAAAACAGGTGACAAAATCACAAAGAACCAAACAAGAAGGCTCCAAGCCCACTCCATTCCTTCAGATTCTCAGATTGCTCTTCTTGACATGCATATGAACAGATTTATATATAGTAGCTAATCAGGAATGCTAAAAATGACTTTGATTTCAGAGGCCAGCCTTGACGACTATAAAAGAATATAATATGCCATGTGAAATGTTATACAAGGATCTTGCATTTCTTTAGACAAGATTCCCACAAATTTTGGATTCATCCTATTATTCGATGGAGTTGCTGAGATGAAGAAGATTATCAAGAGAAACCACTTTATTTTTTATTGCTATATGAAGGTTCCCCTCTGTCTCTCTCCAAATAGTCAACAAGTTGATGTCTGAACTAACCGATAACGACTTAAACCAGCTAAAACTAGCATGCGTAGTAGAATAATGCACATGTGAATTGTACATGATTTATCAATATTAACCAAGTGTTTGCTGAGCTTAGTGGTGTTAATCGACTTGAGTTTTGCAAAATTGAATCTGAGTCTAACAAGTTTTTTTTTTAAACGATCCTAAAAAATTGTCCAAGTATAACGATTTTTTTTTCAAAACGAGTCTAAAATATTATTGAAGGGTTTGTTGAGCATAAACCAGTAAAAACTAAATAGTCAACAAGTTGATGTCGGAACTAACCGATAAAGACTTAAACCAGCTAAAACTAACATGCGTAGTAGAATAATGCACATGTGAATTGTACATGATTTATCAATATTAACGAAGTGTTTGCTGAGCTTAATGGTGTTAATCGAGTTGAGTTTTGTAAAATTGAGTTCGAGTCTAACAAGTGTTTTTTTTAAATGAGGCTAAAAAATTGTTCGAGTATAACGACTTTTTTTTTCGAAACGAATCTAACAAATTATTCAAGTTCGGCTCGTTTAAAACTCGAGCCAAGCCAGAGTCTGAGCCGAGCTCTAATAGCTCGACTATTTTATATATAAACAAGTTGAATTTTTAGTCTAGTTTTTTTAAATGTGCCTAAAAAATTGCTCAAATTTAATTCGTTTAAAACACGAGGCGAGCCCGAATCAAATTTTATCCGAGCCAATCCCAAGATTTGATTAACACCCGAGCTGCAAGATTCGTTAGACAATATGTTTGTCCATACTATAGGACCAACAGTCCATATTCTATACAGCAATGAACATACTAATGCTCCGTTTGGTAGACACGATGAAAAATAAGAAAAATGAAAAATAGGAGGGATACACTTTTCTATCCTTCGATGATGAAAAATATGAATGATACATTTTTCTTTCTTTGTGTTTGGTTGGATGGATGGAAGAAAAAAATGACCATTTTTTTTTTTTTTTGTGCTAGCTAAGATTAAAGGTGATAATCGAGTCGTATCGTATCAAATTTATGTTGAGTCAGTACGGGTTTGTGTCGAATATTAGTCAAACATAACTTAACTCATTTAACTAATTGTGTCGTGTCGAGTTGCGAGTTGACCTATTTATTTTTGTATCAAGTTCGAGTCGTATCATCGTGTTAAGTCGAAAATTTTCACTCTTAGTTAAGATGGAAAAAATATTTTTTTTAATTTAAATTTTTTTTTTTTTAAAATTTTTTTAATATATATACATATTTTACCATTGTATTTTTATATGAAATTAATGTATACATAATATATGTATATATAAAAAGATATATGGACAAATAAGATACATCTCAACACAAATAATTAATTTTCCATCCATTTTCCTTCCGATTTTGGAAGGATTGATTTTATTGAGTTAGAAGGAAAGTTAATTTATCCACTTTTCTATCCTTCCTGTTTTCCTTCCTTACCAAACATGATGTTTTATTTATCCCTCCAACTTTCCATCCTCCCACTTTTTCATCGTACCAAACAGAGCATAAAAAAATAAGAATGCAAAATGATTCCATCATTTTTCAAAACATATTCCCATTACTAATTCGAGGAGTTTAGTAAAAATGTCAATCGAATTATCTAGATCCCCAATAATATTTTTTTTCTTTAGTTCTGATGGTGTAAATCAACGTGGTACAGATTTATGGTGATGAGCAGACGGGATTATTAGAATCCGGCTCTTAGGATCTGAGCTACCAGGCCCGAAATAGCGAGGACCAGTATTCATGGAAAATTGGGGGATTGACACAATGAAATTATAATGGTTCACCAGCTCGGGAGCTCAGCTAATCCACTCTTTAATGGAGACTCTTACTCCTTTTTTCTTTTCTCTTTTTTTAGAAAGTTTACAGAGTTGGATTTTTGTTCCTAGGGTCCTCTTCCTGCTTTGGGAGAGTTATATAATATTTATAGGGCTATTCCTTGTTCTTAGAGATCTGCACCGAGATCCTTGCTACTTATTCGAGGACTTCTCTTTGATCTTATGAGAGGATCTTGTTTGGTTAAGGATTTTATGTCTTGAGTATGGCTCTTTGCCACCTAACAGATTTCTGTTATCATCCAATTATCTCCTTATCATTTTCGCTATTGGCGCATATAAGGGGGGGAATCTAGGTCTGACCTGAGCTATGCATGCCTTTTCTAACTTCTTGTCTAGACCTACTTGTCTGACCTCTTGCCCTGACCTCTTGATCCGACCTCCTGGTTCAACCTCATTGTTGGAAATTATTCTGAGTATCATTAGTTGCCCCCCAGCCCTTATCCCAAGTGAACTTGGGTAGGGGCTGAGCTGAGCTAAGGCCTAATCAGAACAGACCTCCAGATGTGGACCTCGATTCACGTGTGAACAGGTTTTTGACGGTTTCAGGCAATCATTTCATTTCCTAGTTTCTCATGCACGTTTTCCACTTTGTACCGTTAGCTTTAAATGCCTCTGCATTGAGGGAGAACGGTTCATTCCATCCTTTGAACTCCCTTTCTATATTTTTCCCTCTATTCTTCTTGCGACTTTCAATTTTTCAATTTTGTTGGTGCCACTAGGCTTTCGCTGAGGAAACGATTTTCCCTGATACAAGCCGAGGTTTCAGCGAGATTTGCTCTTTGCCCCCAATTCTGGCTTTGGCCCACTGTTCCTTCTCCCCTAGGTACGCTTTTTACCCTCTGTTTGTCTCTTCGTTCTAGATCCCTCAGATTTGAGGTGGTTCTTATATTTTTGGACCTTTTGATTTTGCTATTTTAGAAACCGAGTTCGATCACTATCTCACATTCCCCTTTTCTTGGACCCTTATTTGACCGCTAGGGTCTTCTTTATTAGGAGTTGTTGTGTTACTCCTCAAACCCTTAGGGAGGGTTTCGCGAATATTCCTCCCCTCTATCGTACCTTTAGACTCCCATTTTCCTGCCCCACCATGTCTGCCTCTTTTGAAGCCACCCCTTCCTCTGTTTCCCTTCTGGGGGATAGGACTGTTGAGGACACCTCGGATTTGGGCGAGGTAGGTGAGAAAGTTGACAAATTCCCTACGGTTGATTCTGCTGAAGCCAAGGGAAACACCGAGGAAACTCCCCTATCTGTCCCCCCCCCCTGTGCCCAAAGATTCTAGTAAGGGCAAAACTAGGGTGAGCGGAGTTGGTATCTCAAGCAGTGCCGAGGGTGCAGGGGCTGCCTTTAGAGTTGCTGAGCTCGCAGACCCTAGTGAGGTCAGCCCACCTTTAATGAAGGTCCTTAGTGCTCGCTACGGTTTTTCCCCAGGAGTTCAGTTCTGGTGTCCCGATAAATTTACCCCATACGTCTCCCAGGTCCATAAGAAGGTTTGCTTCTTTATTGCTGCCATCGAAAATGGTCTGCGCTTTCCCTTACACCCTTTTGTCAAAAGTGTTCTTTAACATTTCAACGTCTGTTCTGCTCAGTTGTCTCCCAACTTCTGGGGTGTGTTGGTGGGCCTCCTTATTTTCTTCAAGCTAGATAAACTCGGTGTTCCTACTGTCTCCTTACTAATGGAGCTTTTCAATGTTAAGTATACCCCTACCGACAGCTTCTTGTACGTTTCTAAATGAGTAAAGGCTAAACAGATTATCTCTGACCTCCCGAACTTCCACAAGGGCTGGAGAAAACTTTTCTTCTTCATGTGAGGAGAACACTAGGAGTACAATCCGACTAATAAAACAGATTCCTCATTCCTAGAGCCTAGTCTGCCCCCGATAACTTGGGTAAGTCCTTGTTCAAACTATCCACGCTCAGATTTAGAGAGCCCTCCTAACCTTGTTCTGTCTTATTTTATTTTTTAGGTGTTCGATCTGAGCTCAATGTTGAGGACGAACAGGTGCTACTGAGGTTATAAAAGTGTAAACCAGAAAAATATTCTGAATTCATCAAGCCTTGGGTTATAGTAAGGGAAGGGTTCAGCCTTCCAGAGGTAATGATAGAAGCCCCCATTCCACTCTCTATTGTCAGAGAAGAGGAGGTAGCAGGTAACGTTCATTTCCACCTTCGCCCTGGCCCCCTTTTCTCTTTTTTTTTTTTTTACTTACTTCATCCCTCCTATTTTTTATGTTGGTTCTTCCTTGGGTTTCCAGGCTCTTCTTCGATGGAACCAACCACGAAAGATCGAAATGCCAAGCTTTCTTTGATGAGAAAGAACATGAGTGGAAACAAATGCAAGGCTGAAGCCAGATTAGGGAGTGGTTCAGCTTCCAAAGTTCCAAGGCTGGAGGTGACCTCTACTTCACCTCAAGCGACCCCAGTGGGACCCCCAACCTCCTTGGTCTCCCCAAAGACTGTGCAAACCTCTCCCCAAAGGCTGTGCAAACCCCTAGGAGACTGGGCTGCCCCCTTCTAATGGGGGCATTAAGCCAATTCTGCCCCCCAATTCTCCCTCTTCAGCAGAGGTTGAGAGGGCTTTAGAGATGGTTTCTAGCATTCTACCTGGAGCTATTCCCCCTTGTACCTCTGAGGGACCATCTTTGAAACATTCAAAGATCTACAAGAGTGAAAAAGAGGGGAGTGCCAAGGCAAGCTCGAGCTCCTTGATTGATAATGTAAAGCGAGCTGTAAAGACCATTGCTTCTATCCTCCTCGAATCTGACATCCAGCGAGCTGCCACTATGCCACTTGGGAGTTCCATTTCTACTACCCTCTTTGCAGCTACT